GCGGCCCTGGCCGCCCGTGGGTGGGGGGACCGGGGTTTTTTAGCGGGGTTGGGGGCCGGCTTCGGTTGCCGGTGCGGTATGACAGGGGTTGGGGGGGCTCGCAACGTTTCTGCCGGGTTCGGGGGTGCTTCAGGTAGTTCGGTGGTGCGGATGTCTGTGTCTGCCTCTCCGTTATGCTGGTTTCGTTTCTGCCTCGCCGGAAAGTGTGTCGGTGCCTCGGATTCTTGCTCAGGTTGCAGTTATTCCGAGGGAGTAGATACCGGGGCTTTTTTTATTTTTTTTTTTTTCCCCTCTTAGACTCCATCACCAAGACTGCAAGGCACGCAACTTTGCAGAAATGTCAGCTAGGATGTCAGGATTTACACCGTGGTTTCTGATAGCCCGTTGATGTAAGAGATGATAAGCGACATCTGTTTCTGGGTTACTAAATACGTATCCTCCTCAGCAGAGGGTTAGCAGGCCCTGCATCTTAAGGTAGAATTGTGTGTGGTGTGTGTTTGTTTTGGTGCGCTGTCTTCGACCCCTGCAGCGTCGTGAAATGACCCTGACTTTCAGGCTGAAGTTCTGTCGGCCTAATCTATGGCCAAAGGTAAACTTGCTGGCAAAGTTAGGTTAAGCGATGTCAGTGTTTTGAGATGCAAGTGGACTTGAGAAGAAACACTTTCTGTCTTGGAAAAAAAAAAAAACCAAAAAAGCCCACAACTTGTTCATTGTCTGTAGAGCTTTCTGTCACTGTTACTAGTTGCCTCAACTGCATTTAAAAAATAATGCTGGTGGGAACACATGGCATGCAGATGTCTCATTGTGGTTTACACTTACGGCCGAGGAAGGTCGCATCGTATATATGCCTACTCCACCAAATGGTGCTCAGAGTTGAGGCCATACCGGTTTCTTTCCCAGAACTGCACTGTTGACAGCTGGGGAGGTTGCTCCCTGGTTATCTGTGCCACCAGCAGTGCCTGTGTGCTACCAGGCTGAGGTACGCAGGGCATTGGGATTGGGTCTCCTCCGTGATGGAGGTTCCTCGCTCCTTTGCTGGTTTGTAGTGTAAAGATTTTGCAACTTCGCATGTGAAGGGAAGGGAGTTGTCAAAGATGTCCTGTTACCTTCTCGTGAACGGGGTATCTGTAGCGACCCGCAGTGGAAGATTAAGGGGACATATAAATAAGCTGAATTTGAGTGATTGGGGGTTTTTTTTCCCTTTTAAATAATACCTGTAGGAAAGAAATCAACGTAATTTGAGGAATTTCAGTGATAAGAGTTCACCATCAGAAGAAGATCAGGGTTGCGTATGCCAGGTCAAGAAGTTCTGATTTTAAAATTGCCGATGCAGCCTTAATTTTATCTTCAGACTACTGTTTACTTTAGGAAACAGTAAATGACATTACAATTAAAGATTTTCTAAGAGTATTAGGTTATACCTTTTGCCCTGTGGATGCAGAACCTGTAAGCACTGTGTCCTATCTTGTATACAACAAATCCCATCCCTGACAGTTGCGTATGGAAGACTCGATGCAACAAACACTCATGCAAAATTACGCAGATAGGTCCCGGTTGCCATTTACTGTAGATCTCTTTATATTGCTCTATGAAGTATTTAGCTATAATTTACTCCCATTTTAAGGTAGGAGGCCCGTTATGCTGGTGTAATAAAACTCTGTAATTGGATGGCATGCTTACCTGCTTGCATAGTTGATCTAAACTGCCTTGATAGGCCTGCGTTATGATACATTTAACCGTCATGAATATGAACTTGTTCCATCCGTAGCCCCACTGAAATTAATTAGACTGTCTACAGACTACTACTTGAGGGAACTAAAGGTAGCAAAATCTTTTTCCATAGTTCTGTTTAACCAGGAACACGTATGCTGAAAGTTGGAGAGAAGTTAGGTAACACTACAGAATTTACACTGCTGATGGATGACTTGTACCACACCATTCCTGTGTTTCCTCTTCCTTCTTTGTGGTGGATTCTGTTTTACCTTGTTTCAGTTAGTTTTCATGATACCGGTTTTGATTTTGTTTTTATGGTGGCATTGTGTTAGGTATAGTTCTCCTGGAATTTGACAGAGCCTTGGTGGTGGAGGGCTATTTAAAAACATGAAAGCTCCTGGTGGCTCTATTATTGCCTTAAAAGCTTGTCCTCAAGGCAATGCATGCTGCTCTTTTTTTTTTCCTTTGCTTTTTTTCCTTACCTTTAGTTACTAGTAATAACTGAACTGCCTCCAGAGTTGTATTATTTGAAAGTCTAGTTTTAGAGGTAAACATTGCAGAAATGCTTGTGTCACTTGAGCACTTTAGTCCCAGTGATTTTCTTTTTTTCTTTATTTTAAAATTGTTTTTTATTTTTCCTGATAGAACATAGACCTCTCTGGGGCCAGACTTTCAAAGGTAATACAGTACCTAAAAATGCAGGCATCAGCTGGGATTTTCCGGAGCTTGAATGTAGCAAGGTATTTATCTCCTGCTAATTTTAGCAGACAGAAAATCCCAGAAGTTATCCCAGATAAATGCTATCTGCTTCTCCAGGTTCCAAAATGCCTTTGAAGTCGAATTCTGTTTTCAAAAGTGACTTAGGAACAAAGTTCCTACGTGGCATTTAATTTACCTTTCCCTAATTTTCCAGAAGTGTTATTTTAAAATGTAGATGTGGCTCACTATTTGCTTAAACAAACTAGCAAAGCCCATAGCATAAACATGGTTGCTACCAATGCAGCCTTAGCTGGAAGTGATCTGCAAAGACCAAGATAATGCTTCTCTCCATCCCAGTGTAGCAGTGAACAGGATTTGTTATGATAAGAAGCTAATAAGAAATTAACAAAAGTGGCTGTGCCTTGATTCATAATATCACTGCTCTGCATTATTCTAGGAATGTTCATCCCGGGCTTTAGATGTGATTTATAAACTTTAATTAAATAAGCCTCTCAGAACGCCTTGTTGGAAATCTAGGGTTAGTTCTAAATACTTGAATTAACTGAGAAAAAATTGAATAAAGGTTAATATGGGATAAGCTCTCCATTTTGCAGAAGAAGAAGATACAGCTCTGAATGTTGCATCAGTTGTGGTTAGTAAAGGAAACATGAAAAATAGCTCAAGGTCATTCAACAAGACCATGGAAGAGAACCCTTAGGAGCTGACTATGTACAACAAGGTGTGCTCACGGTGGTTCTCACTCTTTGGGTTTTTTTGACTTATTTGAGAGAAGTTAACTGTAGAGTATCTTTACCCAGGAAGGTCTTGGTGAATATTTGAGGGATGTATTTGTGTGTGTGTATGTATTTTGTATCTACCTATGTATATATAAAAAAAACACAACTGTTTTGAAATATTTGGGTTCTTTTTATGTCATCAGCAGCAGTAATACATTGTAATATTGTTTAGGTCTTGGAGTATGAGCTTGTTCTTAGGTTGTCAAAAGAGAACGGGACTAATGGTTGTATCCCTCCCATTCCCATTAACACAGCTGTATGTGCTGTGCACGTTGTGTGTCGCATCTTCTAGCGGTCATGGAGCTGTGGGGCGTGTGTGCTGTGGGTCAGGTACTATGAGTGGTTAGGAATCTTTGCCTGTCCAGGAGGGTGCCATGGGATACTAACAACTACATTTCGGACTTTAATCCACTTCTTATGCACGTATCTTTTAATCTGGCCCCGGCTCTCTGGCCTGCTGCCATTCCTGTGGGGTAAAGTGTTATAAACTGACTTCATCCTGCTTGGCATTGTGAAAAGGCATAAAGTAGAGGCAATGAAGTTACAGAAGTTGTGCCCTGAATTGTTGGTGTTCCTGTTAGCGCTGCTTATTTCAGCTTTTATGTCTCTCTGGTCTAGATCTGAAGAAGACTCCTCATCCTTCAGAAGTAGCATGCTCACAGTCTTCCTGGCCAATGATTCTTCTACAGCAAGCAGGTCTTCTTCCTCATCCTGAGAACCCTTCATCTCTTCCTATGTCAGTGGCTACAAGGCCAAGAGCCAGCTCACCACTCTCCCCACCAAAATCTCTCGGACTGGGGCCTTCCTTTCATCACACACAAGAAGAAGAGCTTGCAAAGGTGGTGGAGCAGGACCCTATGCTGGAAGAACTATGTAAGCCTCTGTGCTGTAAGCTTTGCAATGTCACTCTGAACTCAGCACAACAAGCCCAGGCTCATTACCAGGTGAGGAGAGTAGCAGGAGGCACGGCTTTCAGGGCTGCTGCATTTGCAGCTTGTGTAGACCATACCTGTGCCAGCACATGCACTGCCAGCAGCATTGCTGTGGTAGCACAGAGCTAAGTGTGGACTAATGCATGAGGACTAACTTAGCTTCTCAAGGGGGTTTTGAGTGCTTTGTTGAGGTGGCTGCACACCAACAGCAGCATTTGAGTTAGCTCATCCGAAGCTACCTCTACACCATCTAATGGATGGGAAGCTATGGCTAGAACTGCTCTGTAGGCATATCTTCACCCTGCTTGAATTTGCTGTTCGTCCAGACATGCTGCAGTGCTTTCATTTAAGGTGTCATCACTGGAGCATGTTGTGAAGACTTTGTCCGCAGGGACAGAGAAGTAGTACAAAGATGGCATGGGTGAAAAGGCAGATGCTCATAATTTACCTTTATTTTATGCGATCTGTTTCCCACCTGTACACTCATCCAATAAAATAGAACTTCTGATTGCACAGATGTGATTTTGTAAGGCCTGGACAGATGGTTTCTGCTGGATCCACCAGTGCAGTTAGGAAAGGGAGCTGCTGCCATGTGCTCATCACTGCCTCCTTCCTGAGGTTATACATACAACTGATCTGCTGGTGGGGCAATTTACGCAAACTTTCTCATCTGTTTTGGACAGCATCAGCTAAGCCAGCTCAGACCAAATTAATTTTGTTCAAGCTGGTCTGGTTGACTTGCGTGAAATAGTTTGGGGACTATTTGCATCTGAGTCTTTGCTGAGAGATCAATATGTCATAGTCTTATGTTACCCTGTTTTACTAGTACCCTCTCTTACTAGTGCTATATTTGTGTAAGATGTGGAGATAGTAACTTTCGGCACCAGCAAATCCAAAAGGGTGGTTGTCCGTATCCTCAGGACACCAGACCCAGATTTGCTGTTGGCCCTGAAAAAGAGGTATCATGCCAGTGAAGGGGTAGGTTGAATTAGTGTTACACTTCAACGTCAGATTTCTGCAGTATTTCTGCCATGAGGGGACAGAAGCGCATTTATAGTACATAACTTGCATTTATGCATATGTCTTACTATATATCCACAATGCATATGCATACTCTCATGTAGCTCTGTTGGGCTTTCAAAACACCAGAAAGAACTATAGTATATCTTTTTCCAAGAGAAAATAAAATATGAAGCAGGGTTTTTTAGGTTCGATCTCATGTTTTAACTCATGCTTGCAACCTTGTGAAAAGAAGTGTGTGTGTGTGTTCAGGCTTATCAAAAAGCTATGCAAAGCAGTTAACGTTTCGTGTTTAAAATACAAAATAGTAGTTTTAAATGAAAAGGAAACAGATTGAGGAACTAATTGTAAACTTGCTGATTTGAGAAAATCAGTCAAAAATGAGGCCCAATCCTGCTAGGTGATGAGCGCTTTAGAGAAAGTAGGGGGATGCCAGCTTCTCTCAAGTCCAGAGCTGTTATTTTCTGAGTGACGGCTCCTTTACCCGAGGTGCCATCTTCATGACCACTTTCTCGTTTTGGTCTCTGGACCCTTTTTCTTTCAGTGTAAGATACTATTAATAGTACAGCGATTAATTTGGGTTCTCTTTCCAGGGTAAAAACCACAGTAAGAAACTCCGAAATTACTATGCTGCCAATAGCTGTCCGGCACCTGCCAGAATGAGTAATTCAGTTGAGCCTGCCCCACCTCAGGTTGTCTCCCTTCCAGCTCAGGTAAGGCATGGGAAGGTGACTAACATCATGCTGCTTACTTGTCACCTAAACCCCACCCCCGTAAGGATAACTAGATCTCACGCTTTGAGGATTACTGCAGGAGTTGGGAAAGAATTTTCCTTGTGATGGCACAGGATGGTGGAAATGGCCTGTTGTGGGCTATTTGCTTTCCTTTGAAGATGCAGATATTGATCTGCCCTTGCAGCAGAATATTGGACTTGAAATGTTCTATTTCTGCACGGCAAATACTTTGATTCCTAGGGATGTCCAATGTGCCGCTGATTATGGTTGTTTAAGGGCAGGTATAAAACAGCATTGTTGGAGCTGGATTTGGACATGAGGGTGTGGCATCCGATCTGCACAATCATCCCTCTATTGTGTGAGGGAAGCCTACGTGGAAAAAGTGCTTAGGTGCTCCTACACCCATTGCCCAGAGCTGTTAGCTAATTCCTCTTTTGTTGCTCCTTTTGAAGTGCTCATTCCTGTGTGTAGGGTGAATAGATCGTTGCCTCAGTGATCCAGATTAATTCTGTCTCGGACACATTAGAGGCAAAAGAGATGATTTTTGCTTTCTTCTTCTAGAATTCATCACAACTGATTGTCATGGGACTTAACAGCTAACCTGGCTTTTGCATGTGACTGTGCAGGGAACTGCAGCTGGGCTGCAGGGATCGAAGCTGTGCCTGTCATTTCCCAAAGCATAAGCCTCTGTTTGTAGAAAAGCAAAGAGCATTTGCCATGAAGCGGCAGACTGTTACACTTGCTGTCGGAGCTGCCTGAGGGAGACTCGGGCCTCTGTAAAACAACTTGGCAGCTCACAGAACTGAATCGAGGGGCCATGGGGTCCAGGCCGAGGTAGTGGGACATGGGTGCTGTACCTGCTAGGGTATCTGATGCGTTTTTGTTAATGGAGGAAATGGCCTGTGGCAATAAAGAGACCACTCTGGGGCCATGTGAGGATTCATGTTGTAACATCGGAGCCAGGATTGTGTCTGCCTGTGTCTATAAGCTTAAACAGTATCAAAGGAGATGTGAAAGAAACTCAGCTTGGCAAGTGCCGCAGTGACATGGCTGTATGAATCACTGCTGCTGCACTGTTTACAAAGCACTTTCCTCTGGATAATACACACTGAGGAGACATGGTTGCTGCCCCGATCGGTGTGTGGTCTGGCTAGACAAGCAAGGTATCCTTCATAGGGCAGGAGCTACGCATGTGAGGCTGGATTCTTCCTTTGAAGTCTTGATCCAGGTGCCTTCCTACCTGAAGGGTAAGGATCAGAAGTTTGGCAGCTCTCCTGTTGTTTTTTTATCTCTTACTGTGGTCAGAAAGCTGGGTAGAGACAGGGTACTGTGGAGAGATTAGGTACGCTGTAAATAGGAGAGAGGAGCACCTTTACCTTTCAGTGGGCCTTCCTCAGTGTGAAAGTCACTGTTCATCAGCTCCCAGCAGTCAGGACTAGAGGAGTTAAATCACTGCTGTGAAGTAAACAAGCCTCTGTAGCTATTGGAGAGGTACAGGGTCTTTGTTCAGATTGCTTTCCTCTCAGTCTGAGGCCAGGGATTTGCCTAGATCTCGAGGAATTTGCTGATTCTCCTGGAGGCTGAGGCAGGGAAAGTGAAGTTCTTGTAAGAACACTTTGGGGAGCACTTGAGAGTGTCCTAATCCCTATGCTATAATTCCAGCTTTCTTGCTGCCTGATGAAGATTATACTGGTCTCAGTCCCTGTGATTCAATATTTCAACGATTTAACCTTCTTGTGTTTCACATGCTGTCTCTCCCTTTGCTGCTAGATGGGATCCAGTAAACCAGGTGGCCGAGTGATCTTGGCCACAGAGAATGATTACTGCAAGCTTTGTGATGCCTCGTTTAGTTCTCCGGCTGTGGCACAGGCTCACTACCAAGGGAAAAATCATGCCAAACGGCTGCGTCTTGCAGAAGCACAGAATAACTCATTCTCGTAGGTATTGTTCAACTTCACGCTCAGGCTGAAAGCATGTGGCAGTGTCTCTGGCAGTCTTCTTCTCAGAAAACTCTGAATTGCAGCTGTTCGTATTTGTTTAATCTTCAGGGATGCATCAGAACTAGGCAAACGAAGGGCGAGGAAAGAAGGGAATGAATATAAGATGATGCAGAACAGAAGAAATATGTATACAGTTCAAAACAACACAGGTAACCGGGAGCTTGCATCTGTTCTATGGTTGGAATAATAATGAGTAATAAAAGATTTGTTTTTCTTCTGTTTCTGAGGTCTGCTTTAGCAGAGACAGGTTGTGAAAGGAGCTGGTCCTAGCTCTCCTGATCCTTCATGTCTGCATGTTTTTTCCCAGTTGCTAAAGTTGCTTTGTTTTGTCGGCCTGCTTGTTAGTTCAGTTTCTCAGTTTGTAACTTAATTTACCATCTGCCTGTCTATAAGGTTGCTCTAAGTGGTGACAATTTTCCTGCTTTATTTTCTTGGCAAGTGGCCAGGTGCTTTAACTCCTACTGTAGCACATCAACCTGTACTTGCACTCCCATGACCGGAATGAGAGAGCATGTTAGCCTCCCTCTAAGACCATCTGTTCCTAGAGTAGAGTCCTTCCTCAGGTGTTAGATACTAACTTTGCCTCTTTACTATGATTTAAAGTGTGTTTTACAGTGTCCAGCCCAGCATCTGTTTCTCTTTTTCATTTTAAGTTGTGTTGTGAGCACATATTAGCTGAAACCCTGAGTCCTGGTGAAGCTTGATTTAATTGTGTCATTCTAACCACTGTCATGTGGAAAAGATAAATCTTTTAAAGTTCTATTAAATATCACTTTGTGATGATTTTAAATTGAGGCAGTTTATTTAATCAAAAGACTGTTCTAATTCTGGAATTGGAAGGTTAAGAAAAAGAAAAGAAAGAATTGATTCATCACATCAATGATTAGACTCCTAATTTTCAAAGCCCTGTTGATTCTTAATAAGACTGGGGCACTAAGCCCACTCTACTGCTTTAGAAAATATCAGCAAGTACTCTCCCCTGTGTCCTACACCTCTATAAAGGTGGATCTCAGCAGAGAAGTCATATAGGAAAATAAGGTTCAGACTCTAATCAGTTAAAGAAGCTAATCTTTGGCTGCTTTTTAATCATTCGTTGGACTTAGAAGTTGTCACTGAGCTGCCGCAAGCTTTTCTTTCTTATAGATAAAACAGGCTTTTCTGTTGACTCCTCAGGTCCCTACTTCAATCCCCGCTCACGTCAGAGGATTCCTCGGGATCTGGCCATGTGTGTCACTCCCAGTGGCCAGTTCTACTGCTCCATGTGCAACGCCGGGGCCAGCGAGGAGATGGAGTTCAGACAGCACTTAGAAAGCAAACAGCATAAAAGCAAGGTGTCCGAACAGCGGTATAGGAATGAGATGGAGAACCTAGGCTATGTACAATGATGCGCCACCCTTGGTAGTAGTTTGCAAATAGAGCAGCTTGTCTCTCGCCTGCTGTTTGCCACATGCCCTGCTTTGTGCTCCATTTGATAGGAGTATGCTCTCGAGCTATACATGTAACACCTGCAAACTTAATGGTATGGTTAGATTTATTTTCTATCATAGTTGGCAGGATGACGCTGTGCAGGACATGAAGTGTTTTTGATGTTTGTTTGCTAATTATCTAAGGCTCTTCATTGTATTGAATGGCGGGGAGGACTTTGTCTTCTCCCTAGCCTTCTGCATGAACATGCAAAGCCCAAGAAGTGCTGGGAACTTCTGTGGTTCTACCACACAGGTGGACCATGTGCAAAGCCCACCCCCTTCTTTGCACACCACAGAGCAGTGCTCCAGAATGCCTCCCTACAGCAGACTGAATCTCTGGGCAGCTTGTAAAAGAGGGGCAGGAATGGGCCCTGTGAATGTGTGAATTAGGTGGTGTACTTGTCCACAAATTTCTGCTTGTGGCTCCCATTACAGCCCAGAGTAGGTTCTTTCCACATCCTTGTAGAAGGGCTGTGCATACCTCTTCTCCTTGGAGGGTCTTGCCTCTTACAGCTTCCTCTGCGATGCAGATTTCATTCTGAACATCTGACATTGGATATCAGCTGATTCACCCCATTTGGAAATACTCTCTTCTACCAGTTAACAGTGCAGAAAGATTCTCGGTGTTGTTGGCTGGCCACATTAATGCACCATTGGTGTAGCTCATCTCTCTGAAGAGAGTCTGTGGGGATCTCAGTGACTTAATGAAGTGAATAGGAAAGCAAACCTGCTCAGATGAGGTGTGCTCTGCTCTGATTCTGCCTTAGACTGAGTAGGGTTGAGAATAGGTCGGAAGGAGCTGTCAGCTGTAATTTCTTTGCATGCTGATGTAGAAGAGAGCAAGTGTTGGTCTCTGACCTGCAGCTCGATTGCTCTGGGAGAGCCGGGCTGCCTGGACCTTGGGGAGCAGATATCGGTGTGTCCTGCTTCCATGCCATTCCCTGGACAAAGCCCAGTGGGTATTACAGAGGAGAGCTGAAATGCTCCTTTGGACTAGAGCTACCAATATTGGATGAATTTTTTCCCCTCTTTCTTTTCCCATCTCAGGATGGGTTTTAATTCCATTCCTTGATGTGAACTTCACTGTTTTAGGGACCATCAAAAATCCAAAGTTAGGTAGGATGTGAATGTCAGGGGTGATGATTGTTTGAGCCACAGCTCAAAAGCCACAGCTTTTTGGCCATGCAGAAGTATTCATGAAACTTGTTAAGCAACTTTGTAAGTGTAGACAAACCCAAAGGGTGTGTGTCTGTTTTGATTTTCCTTAGCAAAAGTAGAAAGGGGATAAAGAGCAGAAGTAGGGCTGACATTTATTTTTCTGCTCATTTGGGTAGATGTGAGGAGCTGTGATTGGAATCCAGTTCATTGTGTTTCTAAAACATTGGCTCCAGTGGCAAGTGCAGCATGTAAGTAACCTCCATTGGACCTGATTCACCACTGTGCTGCTACAGCTGTACTCTGGTATGGCTTCATTGACTTCAGTGGCAGGTGCAGAGAGGGGGTAATGGAAGCATCATGGCTTGTCTCCCACTCCTTGTTAGGTAGTACATTGAATTAAATGCAGCTCTGTTGGTTTCAGTAGCATTTTACCAGGGATAAATTTTACCTAGTGCGTAATGTTGAAGGTAGCTCCCCCACCCCCTTATTTTGCCATTCTGATCCTGCCTCTTGCATTCCAGAAGGACTTTCTGCTTGCCTTAAAAAATGAAAAATGAGTAAACTAACAAAAAATCCAGATAGTTTTTATTCATCTTTGTCGTCCACCTCAGAAGGGTTTGTTGCACTTGGCTGCTCCGCAGAAATCGAGTATTGTTTTCTTTAGCTACCTGAGCATCAGGTCACCATAGAACCTTAACACAGCCTTCCTAAATCTGGGCAAGATGAGCTCTTGCATAGTAGTCGAAAGTAACCCCCTACATCATTCTATGCTGATCCTTGCCCTGCAGGTACAGGCAGAGCAACGGACATCCTCTTGAATGGGGTTCCTTCCCCTCCTTTGTGCAAAGTCCAATTAAATAGGGTTTGTGCACTGGAGCACGTTAGAAGGTAGGAGGACAGGTGCCCAGGTTGCAAAGCATGAGATAAGCAGTTTTGACAGCCTGTACATCTGTTTCTTTGTGCTTTCCTGCCCCTTGCTCGACCTCTGCAGCCTTGAAGAACATTCCCCTCGCACAAATCTCATCAGCCTTTTCCTCTCATCTTTTGCAGTCAAAGAAGGGCTCTCGTTTTCTCTTTGTGTTCTGTCATTTGTTTTTCTAGTCTGACACCACTGTGCAGGGACAGAGGGGGTTGAATGAGCCTTGCCACAAGGTGCTTCACCAGAGTGATCCCTGCATTATGGTTAAACATCCCTCTTGCTGTAAATTAAAACACGGCATTTCCCACAGGCTGCAATTAGTAGCAGAGGAACAACACTTTGCGAAATACGAGCTGGAAGAGCTGTAGGTACTGGTGTTCTCTAGCTTATTGCTAGTGCCAAGAAAGCATTTTTGTCAGCTTTCACGTGTCCCCAAAATCAACTGTTCACCACTTTGCTTTGGTTGCTGCTCCCGCTCCCAGCCCAGCGGTCTGCCCCTCGTTTGGCATTTCCAGTGACTGCCAGAGGCGTCAAAACTCAGTTTGCTCCATGCAGTGTTACCTCCTGGTAACATCTGGTGCAAATGTACCACAGCGCACCCGTGTGCCAGTGCGTTTGGGAGGGTGTGCGAGGGAGGTGCAGGGGGCTGCTCCTGCAGGCTTCTCTCTGCATGGGGCTGAGTCAGGTTTTGAGGAATGGCTCGAGTCTGCCCTGAACAGAGAGGCCTGCATCTGCTTTGTTTTGTTCAAGGGAGTACAAGAAGTGAATGTCATCATCCTGAGAATTTCAAAGTGGTGGGTTATACAGCAGGTATAAAGCAGACAGTGGGACTCAAGCGACAAGAGTAGGACAGGTTTCCTGCATGGGAGGAAAGGTATTTCTTGCTGGGAGAGGCAGCTGAGACTCACCTTGCCCCAGTGCTCTGTTGTGGCCCTTCCCTACAAGTGACCAAAGCTTTCCTCTCCCTCTTCAGCATTGCTTAATGGTTTGTGATCTTCCGACTCTCCCTCCAACATAGAAAATTGTTGACTGCAAAGAGAAAACACCGCACCACACTAATATCATTAGGGTTCAGGCCAATCCAAACTCACTTGTCAGCATGAGAAACTGGGTGGATCCTGATTTTTTTTTAATTTTTTTTTTTTTTTTTGTGAAAACTGTTCTCCAAATCAGTGTTCAAAACACGTGTTGAAAACAGGTCCTGGCCAAACCCTGTTCGACATAGATGGGCTGAGGAGAATACCGTACAGCTGTAGTGCCATTTTCCAGACCCAGTGAATCTTTCTCATGTTAAACAAAGCACCAAACCCAAGATACAGGACTTCTGTGAAGCTGTCGCATTGGCCAGTAGGTTAATGACCTTTGCTGCTAGAAACAAAATGTAAATCAATGTGTTCATATTTATTTTACTGTGCTGACCACTAATTGATTTGTTAATATTTAAGGCATTATTCTGTAGGTTGTTTTTGTTTAACTAGAACACTCTACATCGCACTTTGCTTTTGGATCAGAACAGGTATTTATTATATTTGTGAAAATGTTTTCCCTCCCACATATGTATTGTTTTCTTTCACTTGATGCAAAAAAAACCAACAAAAAACCCCAAACAACAAAACCTACTCCAAAACCAAAAAAACCCCCCAAATCCAAGCAGTGGATCTTCTTTGTTTCTTTTCACGCCAAACAAAATGGGAATTTCCTTGCAACTTGCTCTTAAATGTCCATTTCTAATTTTTTTTTTTTCCCCCCTCCAATGGTTCCTTTGGTAACTCGGGATCATATTTTTAGAGACACACGAAGTTCATACTACATTTAAGCATTTCTTTTAAGGCAAGGAAGTAAACTGTGGAATCCATGTATTTCTGAGGAGTATGAAAGTGATACTATTTTGTTTGTATTAAGCATTAGCTGTTATTTTGCATTCTGCACTAATGAGTAAATGTGTTATTATCTTGCCTAACATTGGTCTATTTTTGACTTTTTGCTTTCTTCATGTACATCAAAAGGAACCCTGAAAACTTCTGTGGAGTTGCTTAGGATGGTCATCAATGTAACAAAATGCAGATTTTTTTCTGTAAAGCTTCTTGTCTTTTTTCCTTTTCTAGATGCCCATTATAGGGCATTAGAAGGGAAAGCTATCGCCGTAAGCACGGATTCATATTTTAGCTTACTAATGCATGATGTCCTTTTGCTACATTACTTAATGCTCTCACTGTAACCAATGGGAATCTTGCCGAAATCAGGAGTGAATGAAATACCCTAGCTAAATATATTATGTTGGCTAGGGCCAGGCAAGGTACATTGCTAAAGTTTGTCTTTCATGTTTGGGTTACAACGCTCTTAAGGTTTTGCTTTTTGAGGAATGTGTATCTGGTTCTGTAAGGATTTGGTCCTGCTCCAGCTAAAATAGTTGGAAGTACATTGACTTCAGTTGAGTAGGAGCAAGCCTTGAAACCCTTCAGGAATTTCATACTGCTGATGTTTTCTCATATATGTGGTTTTTGTTTCATGGGTTTTTTTAAAATTTTACAACCATATATACAAGGATGCTCTAGATGAGATGGACATCTGTTGCCGATTATGGAAAAACAAATGCCATGGTTGCCAAAGGATTAACAGAAAATGGAGAAGTATGGATGTGGTTTCTTTGAAGTTTGTGGCTAAGCTCCTATTGCTCTGAGCTGGGCTGGCTTCTTTGCCATCTGCATAAAGTTGGAAGCGAAGATAAAATCCACTTTCAAATAAATGTGGTCAAACAGTAGTTCTGGGAATCTCTCCTTTAAAAAATGTGTCACAACTAAAATTGTATCTTTTTATTTGAAGTATCTGCAGGTAAAGGCAGGACTGTGAATTTTTAAAAATAAAATCAGTTTTTCAGTCTGTGTTTTGCAGGGGAAAATTTACTTGATTTAATTTCCTTCTGCATCTGTCCAGCAACATCATTTGCAAGTGCTTTGAATATGTTTCATCTAGAGCCTTCTTGTCAGGTTGGTTTTGTACATTTGTCCTTATTTTCTTTATATTGTACTGACCCCCAGGAGGGAATAGTTGATGAAAATGATTTTTTTTTTCTTTTTTTCTTCTTCAGTATATAATAAATCATCTCGCTCTTCTCATTGTACAGCCTTAGTGTTTGGTACTGCTACTGCTCGTGATATGGCTGGACTATGCATGACTGAATTGATTTTAGCCTAGCATTGAGTGCAACTACATGAGTAATATGTTTTAATACACTGATAAAGGAGTATAGTCCAGTGTAGAATTTGTTACTGTGGAGGGGGGGGGGTCAGTGTACTTTCAACTATTATCGAAAGCCAGCCGAGTTCTCCCTCTGAGCTGTCTCTGCTTCAGGAGGGGTTGGGAGTGCTCAGCCTCTGATGGGATGGGAACCAGAAGGTCCGGGAAGGGCTCTGTTTCGGGCTGTGCTTTCCCCTTGAGTAGACATCACAAGCTCTGCAACAGCCCCAGGCTGAACCACGGACTGACTTCAACTCGTAACTGCAAAAAGGTGGGGACAAGCTCAGCCTAATACTTACATTTGCACATTTTTTGCCAGCGTGCTCTTTCCCTCTTTCGTTACTTGAGTGCTCCAGAAGACCATGTGCTTATGCAGCATAAATGACTTTCCAAACAGAAAGGACATTCTGAACTGGAGCCTTGAAGCAGAGAAAATCTGGGCTTTGCTTAGTTCAACTCAGGTAAGAGAAAAACGTTGCGCTTCCTTGGTGCTGCAGCCATGCTGTTAGTGCAGTGAGCTGTTGACCTCAAGGGCAGTATCCTGGTGGCACACGTAAGACATTCAGGGTGTGTGACTGTTGTTGAGGCACAGCTCTGAGTGTATAAGCAACTGTGAGCAGGGATGTGTCCCTGCACTCCCCTGTCCTCTGTTATTCAAGGCATTGGACCATTACAGAGAATAGTGACACCATAGTAGAATTATCCTGATTTACCATTTTGTTGGTCTGAGAGCTGCCTCGGTGCTTAGGTGACTTCTTCTGTGCTAACAATGAAATGCAGGAGGCTATATGTGTTCTCATGTATAGTAAATAGAGCCATAAAAACTTGTAAGTGCAGCTTAGTGTTAAATCTCACCCCAGCCCTTCATTATCTTATGCCCATGCAGACTGCATTACTTTCAGCCATCCTAGGAACCAGAGAGGAGCAAACCTCTACAGAGCAGCGTGTCCTCGTTATTAGATGTTAAAGCACTGCCCTTTTAATACTTGCATGTGGTAATTGTATTCCGTATTAATTCTACAGCAATTTGGTACAGTCAAACCATAGCGACACACAGAGATACCTGGGCAACCTAATTCAGAGTCACGGGCATTTGTTAAACTAGGCAGCAAATAAAATAGTATAAAAAATAGATGAAAATCTAAGACTAATTGTATGATTTGGAAGCATAAATAGCACTCCTTCTGCTTCTCCAGTTACCCTGGTGTCGGGTTGTCACTTAATTGCCTTGCAACATTTTACAGCTGAGGAAGTAAAGTTTGGGAAAAAATAAGTGATTTGTCCAGAAAGTCTATGGCTGAAAAGAAAGATTGAACCCAAGGCCTTTAAATACCAGGCTGCTGACCCTGCCACATCTCCATTCAGCCTCCCTGCTCACAGGCTGATGAAAATGACTGGATTTTAAATACAATTTGATTAATAATTGTTGGGTTTTCATTGTTTATATAATGGCTTCACAATGCTTTAGGAAATGGGCTTTAGCACATGGTTTAAAAATAATGGAACTTAGCAGCGAGATCTCTCAATATTGCTTCTGCCATTAAATCTTAGTGGAGAGGTGGAAAAAACAACAGCCTTTAGGAGGATTGTAGAGGGTGCATGTTTGCACAGTGCAGGTTCCGGAGGCTCTTCTGTATTCATTTATGTCCTCTTCACATAAATTGTCTTTATTCCTACTTCTATTTCTCCTAAAGCATTTGGAATAGTAATGAGCTGCTGTAACAGATAATACCTAGAATTCACTGGCCTAATCCTTCAGTGAATGACATGCTTTCAATTGGCCTTATTCCACTGGGCTTACTTCACCTCTCTACCTGCATGAAACAAGAGCAGATCTATTTAAAGTCGGTGGAATTACACAAGTGTAAAGAGAGATAGGAAGATTATCCACAGTATATTATCTGAGAGTAGAGAGTGTCTTTGGCAGGTGTTTGCTGTGCATATAAAGATGTTAAAAAAGTATTAATCTAAGGCTTGTTTCTCAATACTAAGGTACAAGGAGGTACTGTGCATGAAAGAACAAGGTGTAGGGTTACAAGAAGAAATGAACACAGTTGCACGATAAACTAAACATGCTGCATTTGGTATGCCTATGGAATTTTGTGCAGGAATGCAGTATTTACCTGAAGAAGCCAGACTATGTACTTAATTAAATGCAATGAGACCAGTAGTGTGAAAAACACTACATGTGCCTGTGTATTACCCTGGGTTTTAAAAGATGAAATGTAGGTATGAAAAAACCTGTGAAAAGTCAAATGGCAAAATCCCCGTACACCAGAAGAGTTGATGACGTACAGGTTAACACCTGATATTTGGGGAGTCTGTAAAGAGTGCTTCAGACTTAAGGGACCTGTAAAAACGACCATGTGATGCCAAAAATCTTTAATTGCAGCTGACTAGAGAGTTTGGGACCTAACTGAGATGTCATTTATGACAATGGCTCATTTTTGCTCTGTGTGAACTTGTATAGGTGGGGATTGTTTCAGCAAAGAGTGGAAGCTCCCGTGCGAGGCAGGGCTGGCTGTAGTCTCAGTACCCTTGAGGGATTTGTCCTTCTCCACTTTGACCTGCCGTGTATGTGTGCATGCATGTGAAGCAGTCCCTTTAAGGACTCTTCCTCCTTGGTATTATCCACTATTTATAAGAGATCATTTTTCAGTAGCTCCTTATTGCAGCTACCTCTAATACTGTTTGCAGTGTCTTGGCAGCAGCGTGTTGGGCTTAATTAGGAAATGGCCAAATTACTGGATACGTGGGAATCTTAGACAAGTAGCTTCTGTTTGTAAAAGCTGGTGAGCACCTGCTACTCGTGTAACAGTTATACTCGGAGCATGTTTGGATTAACAGGTCCAAATTCAGACAGAGGAACAATGCAATTCATCTCCAGG